CATCTGTTCCACGGTCTTCTCTCGACCCAAGTGTGCGTCCATCCCGCCGCTATGCATTTCTTGTATCAACTGGAAGCGTATTGAGGAGCTCGGAATGCACAAAGAGTTTCCCTTGAACAAAAAACCATGCCGCACTGTGAAATCACCCATCGGCTGTCCAGCGGAACATCGCTCCCACGCATCTGCAAAGTCTCAGTCTATGGGGTACAAATCTATGAGCGATTCTAGTCCGGTGACCTCCGTCTGGAGCTGGACGAGAAGAGCAGATCGGCGGCTAAGAGCATCCGCAACTCTATTTTGTTTCCCAGATTTATGCATAAGCACAAAGCTAAATTTTTGTAGAAAAACGATCCATCGGGCTTGCATCTTGTTGATACTTTTTTGTGTATTTAAGTATTGAAGTGCTTGATTGTCACCACACAAAATGAAATCACTATGTAACAGATAATGCTCCCATTGCTTAAGCGCCCAAATTACCGCGTATAGCTCTTGTTCGTATGCCGACCACTTTTGTCGGGCTAAACTTAGCTTCTCGCTAAAGAACTCTACGGGCCGTCCCTCTTGAGACAGAACTGCGCCAATTCCCACCGCTGAAGCGTCGGTATCTACATGAAAAGGCTTGCTAAAATTAGGAGCTGCTAGGACGGGGGCTTCTGTGAGTGCCGCTTTGAGGGTATCAAAGCTCTGTTGTTGCTCTACTCCCCACTTGAACGAACTAGCCTTCAAATAATCTGTGATCGGTGCCATAATTATGCTAAACCCGCGAATAAACCTTCTGTAGAAGTTTGCTAAACCATGGAAACTGCGGACCTCAGTTAAGGTACTGGGTCGTTGCCACTGTTGAATGGCACTTATTTTATTCGGATCCATACCCAAGCCATCCGCCGACACTATGTAGCCAAGGAAATGCACTGTGGAAGTGGCAAACTCACACTTTGCCTTATTCAGGTACAACTTGTGCTGACGCAGCAACTCAAGGGCAGCCTTTAAATCATTCCAATGTTCATCCATGGACGAGCTGAACACAAGTATATCGTCGAAGTAGACGACGCAACACTTCCCCAAGAGCGATTTTAGGACCTCGGACATCAGTCTCAAGAATGTGGCCATTGCATTGCACAACCCAAATGGCATGACACGCCATTCAAATAAGCCGTTGCGAGTTTTAAAAGCAGTCTTCCACTCGTCGCCAAGTAGAATGCGGATTTGGTGGTACCCGCTTCGCAAGTCAAGCTTTGAAAATACCGTCGCTCCTGCCAAGTAGTCTAGCATGTCTTCACGCCTTGGTACTGGAAATCGATACTTCAAGGTGATTTTATTGATAGCTCTGCTATCAATACACATTCTCCACGATCCGTCTTTCTTTGGAACCAACAAGACTGGTACTGCGCACGGGCTCAGGCTCGGTTGAATCAGCTGTTTTTCCAATAAATCATCCACTATGCTCTGCAATTGCTTATGTTCCACCTGTTGACCTCATTTTTGTATGATGTCATTAGTGACCCACCCAGCCTCCAAAAAATTCAACTTTTTAACTTTCCCAAAGAAAATTAATACTTTTTCAAAACTATATTTTTAGATCAAACACCGCCGGGCTCATTTTATAATGAGGCAAGTTCGGTAGGTTAGCCCTAGGCACGAAATCAATCTGATGTTGAACTGACCTTTCAGGCAGCAACTCGTTTGGCAGGCTGCTAGGGATGGTATCAGAGAATTCTTCTAGTATCTATAGTAACTCTGGAGGATAGTTTACCATGGTGGCATTCTGATTTTCCTCGGCCACGACAACTGCCAGAACAGCCTTCACTTCTCGGCCAGACTTTAGGAGAGAATTTCCCGAAACAATGCATATAGCTGGTTTTCGGTCTCCATCTTCATTAGCTGGGCGATGTGTAGTAGGCAGCAATTTGAGTTTTCGCCCCTTCCATTCAAAGGCATATGCATTAGCGCGCCCGTCATAAACCACACCAGTGTCGAACTGCCAAGGTCTTCCCAAGATTAAATGGCACACGTCCATGTCAAGAACGTCACAAAGTACTTCACTGTTGTAATGTTTTCCAATGGAGAAATTTACCCGATACATCTCTGATACTTGTATATCGATGACCTTTTTAACCCAACTAATCCTATAAGGATTTGGGTTTTTTGTAGTTTTGAGTTGCAACGCATTGACCAAAGCCTTAGAAACAATGTTCTCTGTACATCCATTGTCAATCAGTAGGTCGCATACCTTCTCCTTGATTGTACACTTTGATTTGAAGATTGCGTTGCGTTGGGTTTTGGTGTTCTGATTAGGTGCAAGAAGCAATTTCTGGAGCACACACACAACCGGCTCCCCTTCATCCCCAGCTACTTCCTCATAATCTTCATCATCCTCGGCTTCGGCCGTGGGGGTAAGATGTTTCGACTCCCCTTCCAGAAGTTGCACTTGCTGACGATTCAAACATTAGTTGGACTTGTGGCCTGGTTGGAAGCATCTGAAGCACTTCAATGTGGTTGGCCGCCCGTACGGATTGTCCCGAATGGGTGCTTTCATCCGATTAATCTGCCAATTGTCCCCAGTTTGCGGAGGCGGTGTGGTTACTGTCGAATCCTTAGGAGGAACCTTGGAATTGCTGCTCTGATTGGGCCCTTGTCCCCTATTATCCGAGGAGGCAGAGTCGTTGAAATGGTGACGTTGCGGCGCAGAGCGGAGCTGCCGATTTAGCTGCATTTCAGCTTTAAGTGCAAAGTTTACCGCCTAAGAAAGAGACCATACGGAATTCAATTCAAGCTTGTCCTGGATGGGTTCCTTCAATCCTCCAACATAGCGAGCTACAATTTGATTTGCCGACTCGTTCAGGTTGTTACGGGCGCTAAGGCGGTAAAACTCCTCCGTGTAATCGCTCACACTCCTCTGCCCTTGTGTGCATTGCTGAAACTTCATGTAAAGGATTTGGTCATAATCCGTAGGGAGATAATGGCTCTGCAAGAGTTGCTTCATCCTGGCCCAACTCCGGACGCTGCCTCTTCCCTCTCGGTGCCGAGTATGCAACAATTGTTGCCACCACGCGCTCGCACCACCATGTAATCGACAAGCAACGTATTTCACCTGCTTATCCCGAGGAACATCCATGTATTCAAAGAACGTCTCCACTGCACGTTCCCAATCCATAAAATCCTCTATGTGTAATTTTCCATCAAAAAACGGGATGTCCATTTTTACCCGAAATTCATCCTGCTGCCTTGGCCAAGCTTCTTGTCGCTGTCTCGGAGGGGAAAAACACTGCTGATACTCTTCCTCACCTGGGTCCGAAAGGTCCTCTTGCTGCGGGAAGCCCGGTTCCACCTCAAAGTCCGAGAGTTCCGGCAGCTCATTCCGCGCCCGTCGACCACCTCTACCCCGACGAGGAACTGCTCTATGGACTGGAGACGCAGGTGGTTGTGGTAGTTGCACGTTACCG